GTTAAATGTTCCATGTGTAGTCCCTTGTTAAATCCTTTCCTCCACCTCACCCTATCCCAGCACTTGGGAGAAAACTAGCTTTTAAGCACTCTTTTTGCGGGGGGGGAGGGAAGATAGAGTTGCATAAGAAGCTCCTTAGCCAATAGATCATTGATTAAAAAAACTTTGCTGTGAAACTATATGGTAGTATTTTCTTATGAACTGTCAATTTCATAAGAAAAGCAAACTGGAAATCAACAGCCAATATAGAAAGGGCTAGATCTCATTGATAATGTTCTAAAATTAGCCAGTTGTTAGAGCAGGGCAAGCTATACTCTTTCCTTACCCAATTTCTGGGTAAGAAACAGATCTCTTAGAAATTTGATTTGTACATGTACTAATGAACAAGCTGAATTTGTATCTGGGCCTAATTGAGTTCCATAAAGGAATTAAAGCCAGAAAATATGTTGTGGGCCAAGCTGAAGATTTTGTTTCCTTTCTCATAAAAGAATCTCAGGGTAGCTCTCCTAGTGTTTGGGGCAGCCAATATCATCCAGCTCTATGTTTTTTAACTTGTCATCAGAGATGAAAAAAAACAAACTTAAGTAGTTAAAACACTTAACCAATTCAATAGTTGATTGGCCCTTCGTCTTGTAGCAACAACCATAATCTTGGTTTTATAATAATTAATGACAAGTTAATTACCTGATTAAGAATCTCTAAGGCTTTCCTGAAGCAACTGAAGACTTTAATAGTATCAGGATATCATTTGCATAAAATAAAATAAGCTGTTGCTCTCCACAAATTTAGAAACATGTATATCAAAAGTAAAATGCTTCACCAGCAAATTAACATAGAAATTAAAAAGAAGCAAGAATAAAATATAGTCTTGGAGAACTCCTTTGGGATTAGGACACACCTAGAAAGCTGACTTTCAGTATAACATCTAATTCTTAAGATTGCAGTTAAGTGTTACAACAAGTAACATAACTTTGTAAATCGCAAATGAGTAATAATAAATACCTTTGAATTGTAAAGTTGTTAAGTTTATCCCCTAATTTTACTCTAGAAATAGAGTAAAATACAAATCTGAAATCAGCAAAGGCTGCCTTTAGGATTTAGTGTTGTATTTTTGAACTAAATATTACAGTACACATCCTTAGTTTACAGTAGAATACTTCTACAGTAGAGGACAAAGTTTAAGGGGATGCAATTATCTTCCATGAGCATAAGTATAAACCTTGAATATAGGCAAAATGCTTTTTGAATTTTCAATAAATACATTTAGTCATGGAAGAAGAAAATGTGCTATTTTGTGAAGTTTAAAGCAGTAGGATCTTCAATCAATTACCTCTAAATGTGTGCAGAACTGAGGTCAAACCAGTAATTCATGGTTGCCAACTGTTTTACAAGGCTGTCAGTGCAACAGATAGTTCTCTAAGACTGTTCCCAGAATCATAATCATAAAATGTTATGGTATGATAATACAGAGCCAGTTCTAATGGAAACCTAATGGAAGGGATCTTCCAATATTTTTGAGCATTCTTGTTTAGTCTGGCTGTCTGCAGAAAAGATTTTAAACTGTGGATAGAAAAAGGCCAATAATAACCCACTGAGATTATGTTTCTTACGTGGTTATAATTTGAACCAAACAAGCTTTTGCAATGCTCATTCCAGACCGCCTATAATGATCTTTCATATGGTCATTGCTTTATTTCTCCCTAATGCTAAACACCGTAACTGCAAATGAATCTGAATGACAATTGCACATTGACATGTTTATGCATGAATCAGTATTAAACACTATAATACTGAGGGTCATCTATAATCAATTGTCTGCTTGCAGTCCAAATATAATGCTATACTAAGCATGGCCACAGTTACCTAATTTCACAAAATGAGTTATTGGCAGAAGGAAATCGCAGATGTCTCAAACAGATTTGCTTTTTACATGCCTGAAATATAAAAACGGTGCGGAACTGCTGCTGATGTCTTACCAAGCACTGCTAACAGGATAGAAGAAAGTAATGCATTTAAACTATCACGCCACTGCAAAACAACCCCTTTTGTACCATCAAGTTGTTTCCAGTTTCTAATAATCACATAGATAAATTTTCCCCATGAAAACCGTACCCTTAACATGTTCTTTAAAGTCTCACAATGATGCATTCATCACTACTATAATTTAATCCATCGACTTTGCTGCTGGTCTTCCTCTTCTCTTTTCTTCTACCTTTCTCAGTATTAGAGCCTTTTCCAGAGACCTAAGTATTTGCATAATATGTTCAAAGTGTGCCTGGTCATTTGTGTATCAAATGAGACTTCTGAATTGATTTATTCAGTGATCCATTGCTTTTTTTTCTTGGCTCTCCATGGTTTTTTCAGGAGTCTTCTCCAACACCAAATTCAAAACAGTCAATACTTTTCCTAAATCTAATTTTTGCTTCCATAGAGTGTCATGGAGAATACCATGGTTTTCATGATTCTGATATTTCTAGGTATAGACACATCACAGCATTTGAATATCTTTTCCAAGGCCTTCATGGCTTTTACTGTTGATGACTGGTCGTAAAAGGCAGAAGCTATCCACCACTTCAGTGTCTTCATTCTCAATTCTAAGACTATTTATTCTCTGTTGTCATTATTTTGGTCTCCTTTATTTTTAATCTTTGATAATAGGACTTGCTGATCCTTTGCATTTTCGGCTATCAGGATAGTATCATCAGCATACTGCAGATTATTGATGTTTCTTCCTTTAAAAACACACTTACCTTCTTCCAGTTCCAATTCTTCCCTTATTATATATTTAGCATATATAATCTTGTTGTACTCCTTTGCTAACCTGGAATCTCTTTTGCCATGTTCTGTTCAAAATGTGGCTTCCTGACTTGTGTATAAGTTTATCACGAGGACATTGAAACGTTCTGGGCTTCCCATGTTTCTCAGCACATTCAGAACCTCTTTTGGCACAACCTTATTTGCAATAAATTATATTTTTGTTGTACAATTAGAAAAATAGTCACTTTTCAGATTTCAATGAATTCATCTACATGATTATAATTGGATCTACAATATCATACTGCCGAGTATTAGGAAGCATCTTCCGAAACTAAATGGAAGAGTGATGTACCTGGTTTGATCTACAACTGATACAGTTTAAGCAACATTTGTTAGACTGAAATCTGTTTTCTTAAGTAATTGAAATAGGTCTACATGTTATTCTTTTCTAAATAATTCATTGCAACTGGGTTTTGGATTTATTGTACACGTGCAGCCAACAATCCATATAAATTTCTGCCCTCAAATATCTGTTCTTAATGTGATTGCCCTCAAACACCTGATTCTTAATGTAACTAGAAAGTACTTATTTGCTAATTTAATTGATCACTGGTTTGGAAAAGCTGGATTTAACAGTTTTGACCAATCTTTGGGTGACTTTTAGCTTGAATTCTAGTGACCCATAAATTCAACAAGAAATCATTCAATACTGAAAAAATAGTCTATATTATTAAAGGAAGTAAATAAGCATTCTACAAAATTGGTGTCTTAATCGAAACTGCTTTAAAACAATAAAAAAGAAGTCTGAATTTATATTATCTGTAATACATACAAACCCAAGAAAGAATAAGAGTACAATAATAAAGTTATTTCTAGAACCTATGTCAGGTAAAATTGCATGGTAAAGTTTTGCTTTTACAGTTATCTCCCAGTTACTGTACAAAGCAGTCTATACTGCAGTATTTGCTACATCGTTACTAGAGGTTGTAATACAAAGTATCCAGGACTGTGTTCTGGTTTTGATTAATAAATAGCATTCAGAGGACCAGTGCACAAATACAATAAAAAAAGGAGGATTGTACACACACACACACACACACACAAATGTACACAACATTATACAATAAAATATATAACGAAATGACTTTATAAGAGAATTCAGTTTAGGACACAATTCTGTGTGTGCATGCTATGCATTTTCTATAATGGAAAATAACAGGAAACCTTTCTAATTACATTTTATAGACTCTAAGCAAATTATTGGTAAATTGGAAAGCCTTATGCCTGGTCACAGAGTCAGCCTGATGTTTACACTGGATTTGGCATTTTTGTCATATTTATTTGTTATTGCTATGTTTGCTTTGCAATGAAAATTCAAGCTTACTCATATTCTGGAAAGTAGCACACCAAAACACTATCTCAGCTATTTTTGTATTTTTCCTGTTGGATCTTCCATCTTCAAAACTGTAGTATCATGATGCTATAGCTTCAGTTTTGAAAGTTCTTGTTTTTCTTCCTTTCTTTTCAATGTTCCCTCCCGAACTTCCTACGCAGAATGCTCTGGACCATTGGGAATGGAAGGAGGAATTATTTCTAACCAACAGATTACTGCATCATCTACCCATCGGGCTCTTTTTGGGCTCCAGAAATGGTATCCTTACTATGCACGACTTAACAAGAAAGGGCTTATAAATGCATGGACTGCAGCAGAAAATGACAGATGGCCATGGATTCAGGTAACAGATGGAGCGGAATACGTGGAAAACTACTAGTCTCTATTGCTAATATGGTTTAGTGATTAGTGCAACTTTTATAGAGGTGCAGACCTGCATTGAGATGTTTTTTGAAGTAGTTTATATTGCCCAGAGTCCACTTTCATTCATTCTAAATATATCTATATTTTTTTAACTATACAATTATTAACAGAAAAAGAAAATTGTATTTCTTTTCCTTTCTACACTGTTGCTTATTTAGCAAAAGATTCAGTTTATGTGTGATATTGCTTTTATAATAAGTATAGTTCCCCTTATAAACTTTTAGGTACATGATACACACCAAGTAAATATGTAATTTATTTTTCTGTCTCCTAATGAGCTGTATATTGAAGCTACCATTCTAATGTGTATTGCCAGAATGTAATTAGTTGGAACTACAAGCTTGTAATTGGCTTGTGATTTAAAGGGTCACTAGTCATGGCATTACAAGCAAATTAAAAGGAAGCTCACTCATATCTAAGTTTAAAGTAGTCTATATAGATTTAGAAATAAATAAAATATTTTCCATGTTCAGCACTTACTGCTTGATTAGAAGCATTGAGACATGTTACTTTAACTCAGATGTGAAATAATTTTTTATATTATCTTATTTTAATATTCACTATTCAGATATGATCATATTTCTCACTGAGTTTTTGTATTACGTTTTGCTTTTTATCTCCACAACATTACTCTTACCTGTCCGTTTCATTATCCTTATCTAATGTGACCTTAGATAAAGACATTTACCAAAGATAAGGGTGTAAAAATGGAATATCTCTGTAACCTATGTAATATCAATATGTTTAAGATATCTGATTTATATTTTAAAACTTCCTAAACTGTTTTTCGTAACCCAAACCCTTGAAGTAAAAGTTTGAGCTAGAGACCACAAGGGGATGGGACCATTTACTGTTCTTGGACACGGATTACCCCATTCCCTTTAAATATTGGACCAACTGTTTCAACCAAAATCCACCTAATACAATCCCAGTCAGGGATTGTAATATAAACAACTGCTACAAGTGAGGATGACGAAGACCAGAACAATTACTTGATCCAGGTTTACAACTGGGTGACACTTTGCTTTGTTCTTCCCTTATAAGCAGGAAAAATGAGTCATTGATAAAGTACACTAGATTCTATCAATATAAGCAAGAATGCCAATTTTATCAAAGAAGAATAATATTTGGGCACAGCTTTGGGAACAAAAGAATTAACATTGAATTAATTCACAAATTCTTGTGAATTAACTCAATAGTTCTAAGCAAGTTCCTTAGTTCCTAGATCATATACAATTTCTCACAGTTTTGGTATATTTTGGTTTGTTGAAAACCTGAATAAAATTCTCTGGTGACTTTGAACCAAACCTTCTGACTTCAGTTAAGGAATGGAAAATTCTATACTTGTATACCAAAATGGTTTGCTTCTTCATGATAAAAAGTTGACTTTTTATAATAAATGAGTTTTATATCTGAAGTCTTAGTGACTTAAAAAAGGAGAGAAGAAAGCAGAACCTTAAAGTTATCTAATAAGTTAACATCTGGACCACAAATAATGCGATCACACAGATAAACTAGCCATTATTTTCCACATTATGGTGAGATGAATCATTGTTTTATTACACAGTAAATTAAAAATGCAGTTAATTTGAATCCTAATGGTAATTTCTAAACTCATATCTATGTGATTACTTATTTACAGTGTTTATATACCATTTTCCAGTACAATTATCAAGGACAACAATTAAAAGCAGCAGTGACATTAAAAATAAAAAATAAAATGGTACAAAATAGCATCTCTTACTAAAGTATCAAATACAATGGCATCAATCAAAACCCCAAAGCTCTGTTAAACAATGCTATTTGAACAGTATTTCTAAAGCAAATCAAGATAGACACCACTCAACCAAAAGGACGATTGTTGTAGATAATGGGGCACATTAGCTCTGCTTCCTTCACTAATTTTGCAAATAGGGAGAAGAAAACCTTAAGTAACATGAAGGAGTTAACTAAAGGTATTGGAGAGTGAAATCACCTTATAAGACTTTAGATTTATAGCTAGCACTATACCCAAATTGTATCTAAAAGAGCTGGAAGCTAATACAATATCTACCCAATATAATCCTTTGTTTATATGCTATAGTAGTTCTCACAGTAGTTGTCTATAGGAAATTATTGCAGTTTCTCAGAAATTTCTAATGCAAAATTTATAAATTATTTTGCATAATCTAATGTCAAGGTAACAATGGACTGAATTATCCTTACTAAGGCAATCAAGATAGGATAACTGGCATACTACAAAAAGCTGAGCAAAAGTTTCCCTGGCCATGGTTTTTACTATGGTCTCTAAACAGTGGTGGGATTCAAATATGTGAACAACTGGTTCTCTGTGTGGATGCTGCTTCCGGAAGTCCATTCTGGGCCTGGGCAACAAAAAATTAGCTACCGGTTCTGTCAAAGTGGTGTGAACTGGCTGAATCCCACCACTGTCTCTAACATCTAGCAGCATACTCCAAGTTCCAGACCTGCTACTTCAGGTCTGGAACTAGACCTGAATAGAATAGAATTCTTTATTGGCCAAGTGTGATTGGACACACAAGGATTTTGTCTCTGGTGCATAAGCTCTCTGTGCAACAAAGGATAACTCATGATCATACTCATAAAATACAATAATCATAAATCATAAAATACAACACTTAGTGATACTCATAGGATACTAAATAAGCAAACAACATAAATCATACTAGGATACTAAAAAACAATTTAAATCATAAGATAAAAGCAACAAAGTTATAGTCATAAGAAGATAAGGAAATAGGTAATAGGAAAAATGAGAAAAATAATACTAATACAGCCTTACTAGATTGTTTGACAGTGTTGTGGGAATTAGTTGTTTAGTAGAGTGATGGCATGGAGAAAAACAAACTGTCCTTGTGTCTAGTTGTTCTGGCATGCAATGCCCTATAGCGTCGTCTTGAGGGAAGAAGTTGAAACAGTTTTTGTCCAGGATGTGATATGCAGTATACATATCCTCAATGAAGGCAGGCTGGTAGCAATTGTTTTTTCTGCAGTTCTAACTATCCATTGAAGTCTGTGTCTGTCTTATTTGGTTTCAGTGCCAAATCAGACAGTTATAGAGGTGCAAATGACAGACTCAACAATTCCTTTGTAGAACTGTATCAGCAGCTCTTTGGACAGTTTGAGCTTTCTGAACTGGCACAGGAAGAACATTCTTTGTTGTGCTTTTTTGATGAAGTGTTTGATGTTAAGTGTCCATTTTAAATCTTGAGATATTATAGAAACTAGAAACTTGAAGGTCTTTACTTTTGATACTGTGTTGTCTAGTATTGTAAGAGATGGTAGGTATAGGAGGCTGTCTCTTAAAATCTAACCTAACCCTATCATTTCTACAGTTTTGAGTGTGTTCAGTTCAAGATTGTTCTGGACACACCACAAGGCTAGTTGTTCAACTTCCCATCTGTATGCAGAATCGTCATTGTCTCAAATGAAACCAATCAATGTTGTATCATCCGCAAACTTCAGTACTTTAACAGAGGGATTCTTTGAGATGCAGTCATTGGTATGTAGAAAGAAGAGTAATGGAGAGAACATACAGTCCTGGAGGGGGGGGGCTGTGCTAATTGTACAGGTATTTGATGTGATTTTGCCTACCTTCACCTGCTGCTTCCTGTCTGTTAGGAGGCTTATGATCCACTTACAAGTGTGGTCAGGCACAGCTAGCTGAATTAGTTAGAAGAATATCTGGAATGATGGTATTTAATGCTGAGCTGAAAATTATAAAAAGGACTGTTACATAGGTTCTTGAAGATTCAAGATGTTGTAGGATGTAGTGCAGAGCCATATTAACAGTATCATATGCCAATCAATATGCTCAGTAAGCAAATTGCAAGGGGTCTAACAGCTGGATCTGTGATGGTTTTTAGGTGGTTTTGCAGTTGTATGCTTGTCATATGTACACAATGCATTTTCTTATGTTGTTCAATCGCCATTATCTTTTTATCTATATTAAATCTTTCTCTCACAATTCTATTGGGTTCTTAGTGCTCTCTGAGCTTGATTGTTTTCTTGTAGACATTTCATTACTTGACTAATGACTATGTGTAGACAGAGTGAGATTTGTTGACTGTTTGTATATAGTAGCTTACCTTATAAGTCTTGTTTGAGGTGTGACTTACTGTAGCAATAGCAATAGGATTTATAAATTCCCCCACAGTACTTTACAAGTTTACAGCACTCTCTGGTTGGTTTACAATGTCAACATATTTGCCCCTAACAATCTGGGTCCTCATTTTACTGACCTTGGAAGGATGGAAGGCTGAATCAATCTTGAACCCGTTAGGATCAAACTGCAGACTGTGGGCAGAGGTAGCCTGAAATACTGCATTCTAACCATTACACCACCAGGGCTTCCTCCTTGAATGTTCCTTTATTAGAGTATTGTTTTCTTCCCTGATTGTTATCTAGTGCTGTTTTCTGATTACGTATCTGGTGTTGACTCTGAAGGAAATATGTTCTTGGCAATTTGTTTATATATTTTAAATGGTATGTAAATGGTGGTTATCTTTAAGTATTTACATGCCTTCAGCCATCAGCCATTTGCTCAAGTGCCAGGTGTCCAGGAAGGAATTCCTTACCACTTTTGGATTTGGCTTGATCTAAAGTGTTAACAGTTTTTCAGTCAAATCTGTGGTTGAGTATGTCCAATTTTGTATCTTCTGACTGCAAATTGGTATTCATGAATGCACTCAAGTTATCTTCTACATGTTTGTCCATTGCCTATCCATTGCCTGTTCAACATCCATTCCCAAAGTTTTTTTTCCTTAAAAAAACTAATTGTCTTTTCCTCAGACAATCTAAGGATTCAGAATAACACTCCCATGGTCTGCAACCAAACTTTGTATTAGGTCTAATACATTCCTCTTACTGAACAAGTAACTGTGTAAGGTAAAAAGGAACAAT